CCTTATAAAGCCTGTCAGCTATTCAACGCAGGTGAGGATAATCAGATGAGGGAACCAATCAGCCAAGAGTTACAATCACCACAAGCTGCAGATGGAGTTCCAACAACAGAAGTTGTTGTTCCAACACTAGTTATTAAAGGTAACAGTCTTGCTCAGCCTATTATTGGCTCAAATGTTATTGGACTTATTGTGAATACTGAGCTACAACCAAACAAAGACAGCAGTAAACAGCAGTTAATCAAAACAGTCCAGTCAGCTTTTTCTGATTTTAAATGGATTATGCTGAAATGTTTGTGGCTAGAGTTTTTGCTGAACATCAATCCCTGGAGTATAGTGTCAAAACTACCAGAGGACAAGTGCCTGTCCCAAAACACAGATCAGTAAAGGTAGAGTGCTGTGTTATAACACCCCCTTTGCAAGAGGAGACAACTCTGATCTTTGAGCCCAGTGTCAATCCACAGTGGCCAGAAGGTTTAGAGTTCACTGACACCCTCATGAAACTAAAGAAAGGCACAAAATCATTCATAAATGTGGATGTACAAAACCCAACTGACCATGACATCGTACTCTCTGGGAGGACTATTATTGGGACAGTGCAGCCAATACAACCAGTTTACCCGACAACAATCTTTGGATGGCCCTGCTCCACACCCCCAGTATCGGTAACTAATGTGGAGGTCAGGAAGGAACAAAACCCTGATAATGAATGGGACCACCCCCCCTCCCCCCCCAGTTGACTTGGACTATCTTAGTTCCCCTGAAAGAGATATGGTTAAACAGATGCTAAGAGAGGAGTCGGGCTCCTTTTCCTGTTCTGATGATGATATTGGCTGTATTGAGAACCTGCGACTATCCATTTCATTGAAAGACACGGAACCTGTGGCTAAAACTTACATCTCTGTACCAAAACCATTATACCAAGAAACAAAGAGCTATCTACATGATCTTATCACACAAGGTTGGGTTCGCAAATCTAATTCCCCCTATGCCTCCCCAGTTGTGTGTGTTCGAAAAAAAGATGGAAGCCTACGCCTTTGTATTGACTATCGTGAGTTAAACCGTAAGACTGTACCAGACCGCCAGCCTATTCCCAGGGTACAAGACATCATGGATGGTCTAGGAGG